GGTTTGGATCCCCCATGTCATGGCTGGACACTCAGGGCTTTGGATCAAAGCCTTCCTGTCGAGATGAAATACAGGGGATGGGACCGCCATGCTTTGAGATGATTTATTGCCCAAGCAGCCCAATGAGATATCAGTCTCAGAGTGTGAGATTTACAGGAGCAACAAGTCAACCAGAGCTCAAGGAAGTCACCTGCTTCTTCTCTGCACAGCAATATATATAACATTCTAGCCCAACAGGCAGTTGACACAAAGTTTATTTTCATTTATTAACCTATCACTTTTGCTTAATTTTGCTGTGCTGCATCTGTCTCTTAGCCACTAAGCTGACAGGTTATGTACAGTACTCATACATCTCACTGTTATAGTTTCTGGATCTGTAACCTACTCTGTAAGTCACACTATTACAGTTCAAACTTCAAACTATTTTACCTAATATAATTTCTTACCTACTTAATACATATTTTACTTATAACTATAGAGACATAAGTTTTTAATTTCTCTAGCCAATGTCTGTGTACCTTCATCACTACATCAATCCTGGCTTTTTCTAAGGCTGCAGATTTTTGGTTTCCAGCACTTCCCAGTGACAGAGCAATGTCCACATTGCACATGAATCCAGGTGCAATTCAAGCTCCCCTTGGACTGTCCTGCTCTAACAGTAAAGCAAATCTTTCACTGTGGTTGATCTGATTCACATCTTCATCTATGCACTCCTGAACTGTGTGTTTGGATTGAACATTTAACATTAAAAAAAAAAAAATTCATTTGCTTTTTGGTGATTTGGTGGAGTTTGTTCCATTTCCCTCTGGTTGAAGAACTAAATGAAGTTTCAGCTCTTGTCTGCTGATCACACTTGGCAGAGCAGCAAGACCTAGTTAGTATCTAGAGCTCTGGCAGCACTATGGTGTAGAAATCACATCCCACAAGGGATTATTTTATTGGCTTTCTTGCTAACCTTTCTCTGTAGGAAGGCTTTTACATGACAGCTTGTCCATCAGGTGTCTGAGGTCAGCTGTCTCCTCCTGAAATGCCTGTTTTTCTCCTGTGGCTGTTGAAGAGGAATAAGTTATGTCGGTAGGATCCCTTGCTCGGGGGCTGTATTTGCAGAGAAGTTGACAGGGACCTCTGGAGATCACCAGATCACACCTCCTGCTCAGAGCAAGGTCCCATTGGCCACAAGCCCAGTGAGACTTTGAGTATCTCAAAGGGTAGAAGGTCCACAGCCTCTCGGTAACCTGACCCTGCCAGGGTCTGACTATCCTCACAGAGAAAAAGGATTCTCTTCTTTTCAAGTAGAATTTCTTGCACTTCAGTCTGTGCCCATGGCTCTGTCTTCACTACCCTCCCCCCTCAGGCATTTAAGATGAGATCCCCTGAGCCTTCTGTTCTCCAGGCTGAGCAGTCTCAGCTCTTGCTCTCTCCTCACACAACAGTTCCCCAAATCCCTTCTATTTCCCTGCACTCCCTTCACTAGGTCCATGTCCCTCCTGTACTGGGGAGCCCAAAACTAGACCCGGCACTCCAGATGTGGCCTCACTGGCCCTGAGAAACATAGAAACAGGGTAAACTATAAAATGTCAGAGACCTCACTTTTGGGATCCTTGTTAATGGGCATGATAGAAACAGAAGTTACTGACACTGCGGTGGGAAACCAAGCTGTCCATGGGGCATTTCTGCAAAGCAGTAGGGGCTGTAGGTTTTATTTCCCCTCCTGCATTTTCTTTGACAAGCTGCAGTGCTTCCCAAAGACGGTTTTCTAAACACGGCTTTTTGAGACATGTTCTCCATTGCCAGCCTGGCAAGTGGCTCAGGTGCTGGGTTCTCTGCCTCAGGCCCAGGGCCAGCTTCCTAAAAGGGCTGAGGCGAGAGCAGCCATGTCCTGTGATCAGCAGTTGGCCTCACCTCTTGGCAGCACAGCATCTTGGCCTTCTCTTTCCTTTCTGGAGGGATGCTGCAGGCACTGGGGAGATTGTGGCTGCTGCCAGCTTGGATGGCACCAGACTCCAGCACAGCAGGACAGGGGAGTCACAGGGAGGTGATGCAGACACTGGCCTGTCTGCACAGCACAGGACAGAGTGGAGAGGCTGCTGGGTGTGAGGCTAAAATGGTTGTGATTTGTTTTCAGCTGTATTTGGAACAGCCCCCAACTCTTACCTTTGGACTCCCTCTAGGTGCTTCTACACATAAAAGCAATAAATAATATTTTTTTCATTTTTTTTTGTGCACCATAGTCAGATATCCTATCATCTATCTCCAAGGACTTTATTTTTATGCTCTCCATTAGTTTAGTGACCCACCCCCTCCCCAGCAGGTTTATATTTATGCTCCCAGGGGTGTTTTGGCTTAGCCTCGTTTGCTGAGTCTCACAGATTTGTATTTCTTCCCTGTCTATGGTAGGTTCTGAGATGGAGAAATGTAACTTTAATTTAGTTTTGTATTTTATTTGTAAAAGGGGAGACTGACAGTGGGATTCAGTGCTTACACAGGAGCAGAAGCGAACAGTAAAGCCGATAGGAATCACAAGACTCAGTGGTTCAGGGGCAGAGAAGGTCCTTCCCTTTTGAGGTTCATTCCACCAAAGGTCTCATTCCACAGCCACAGAAGTAGGAACTGTGTTCCCTCCGTGTCAGGCAGAAGCAGAAATGTTGAGGGACTGTTCCTTGCAAAGGATGACAGGGAGAGTGTGACCTGATGTGGAGAGAACCTCTGGGGTGAGTAACACCCAGGCTGGGTGGACATGCACAAGGAGCAGAGGTATGGGGTTGGATTTCTTGTTAGCACTACCAACAGCCAGCTCCCACAGAAGTGTTCAAGGCCCAAACCAAGCTTTTGGCTCATAACTCCCAAATTCTTACCCACCTTTGCCTACCCAGCCCTTTCACTGGCTAAAGCCAAAAGCCCCTGGATGCTGAGCTGTGTGGATGCTGTTCTGGCCCTTGTGCTGAGAGACCTTGGAAAGGTATTACCTGTTTTATGGTTAACCATTTCACTCTGAACCATTTGGTCCTTTCCTACAGGCAAAGACCTGGACCAGGTCCTGAACTTCTGGACCAGGGTGAACTGGGGTGGGGGCCATCAGTGGGGTGGGTTAGCACAGCTCTGTTGAAGTCAGCTGTGGACGTTGTAGTGCTGAGGGAACTCCTTCTGTAGGCTCAGCCAGTAGCTTTTATTCTTTTGTTTATATAAATATATGTACACTTCATGCTTCATCTTTCCTCTGCTGTGTCACAGCGCCACAAGCAGCTGAGCAGTGCCACCAGTGGCACAAAGACTTACACAACATCCTCTATTTTTAATAACATGAGGTTCATTAGGGATTGCAGGCATCACAATACATTGGCTCAGACATGATCGCTTCCCCATTTCTTTTTCCTCAGGGAAGAGCTGAGGTTTCTTTCCATTAGTCTGCATGCCTTTGGTTGAGACCACACTTTTGTGGATAGCAGATGTTCCATTCTGGCTTGAGTGCCAAAGGATTTAATGGAAGACCAAAAAAGCGATGCTTGCTCTGGCTCCCAGCAGATGGACTGCATGAGCTCAGGACAGTTTCCCTATGCAGGCAGCCAGTGGCTGTCCCCCAGTCAATCCCTCCATCCTGGCATTCCCTGTGACCACAAAACACAGGGTTGGACACAGAAAACAACATTGCTGTGGTGAGCAAAGATGATCTTCTAGAAGTTCCTTATCTTTGGCTTTTCAATAATGTACAGTAAGAAGAAGATTGTAAGAATAGTGAACTTATAAATATGGCACAGAAACTAAAAGGTCTGTTTCGTCATCCTGGATCCAACAAGTACAGCAGGGGCAAAGCCACTCTTCCCCGTGCTCCTCCCAGGTTCAGAAGAGCAAAACATCTATGAGGAATGGTGTTGGCAGGAGTTTAGCTTCATGAAAATAGAGAGCAAGAGAGATATGAGCAAGAAATCTGCTGAGAGCGACTTGTTATTTTTTTAGATTTGATAGACTGACTCCTTCATGTCCTCTCTGGGAATATCCTTTGGCATCCATCTCCATGGCTGTTTTTCAGATTCACACTCCATACAAAGATGGTCCAGCGCCAGCACCCACAACTTCCCTGAAGCTCAGCATTGCCAGGATCCATGGCTTTCACACTGTTCCTTTTTCATTTCTGCACTCCCATAAAAGCCCTCTGTTTATTTCTTTGACCACACATTCGTGTTTTAAGACCTTGTGGTTTATGAGCAGTCAGGATTATAGCCAGAAACGCTTCCAGAACTGCTGCTTTGCCTTCATGTGCATCCCAAAACATGGAGGGAATATCTGCCAAAGGAACTAGAGGATTTATATTGAGACAAGCTGGCTTGTCGGGTGTAACCATGACCTACAACAAAGAGTCCTGGAAAACTTCAGGAGCAGGGTCCAAAGTAAAGCTCATTGAAGAGCTGTGCAAAAGAACCCTAATTCCACACGCTGTCCTGCAGCAGCTGAAACCTCCCACACTGGTGTGAGGCACGGTCTTCTACATGGATGGTCCTCTCTCCTGTATGGGATACTGGAGAGGAGGAGGAGGGAGAAGTCACCACCACCTCAGTGGGTGGGGGAGAGGAACTCTTGGCTGCTGCAGCCCTGCTCGTCATGGAGGAGGTGAGAGCCAGCCTGGGAAGGACTGGCTCCATGCTGGGATCTGAGGTGCCACCTCCCCAGCACCACTACTGCCGCCAAGCAGGGCTGAGGGAGGGACTTTCCTTCTGGGTTAGCTTCTATTTCAGAATGAAACTTCCCAGCAGCAAGGGAGGGGAGGAAGGAAATCTTATTTTCCTATAAAAGGATTCCCTGCCTGTATCCTGTGTAGGACATGTGACTGGGATGATAACAGGGCAGGAGGGCGAGAATCCTATAAAGCATATTACAGGGTGGGAGGCTCTCACTTTCTGCTTTCCCCCTCTGCCTTTGTTATCTTCAGCCTTCAGATATATCCCTGGAGCAGCTCTGAAGAGAAAGACAAGGAGAAGAAAGCACTCCAATCACATAGACACAACTCCATTCCTTCAGCAAGCTACAGAGATATTTTTATTTTATAGTCATTTGAACAGCGGAGAGTTTGGCAATAGTGACAACTTCAGAAGCGTGCACTCTGCATTTGTGTTTGTGTGTGTTTCTAGCTTGGCTCAGACTTGATGTCTTGGAAGACCTACCACCATCCTGCTTTTAAACAAAGCAGCAAATTGGAACACCTGTCCCACAGGCAGGATCCTGTCTTGACACCTCCAACCTGGAAGTGCAGGGTGTGTGACCCAAACCGGAGGGGTTATTACCAAGCACTGCAAAGAACCACTGATACCTCTTAGCCAACAGCCAGCAAAGCTCTGTTAAGCTGCCAGGGTGACCTGCACTTCTTTCCCACCATTGCTGTTATTTCATTTTTTTTTTTTTTATTTTTTTTTTTTTACTTTAAACCTTTTCTCAGTAAAAAAATCACTGAGGTCAGGCCTTCAGCTGGGCATGACTATATTGGCACAAAGAGTGGTCAGGCAATTTGTATTTACCAAGAACCAGCAAATACTGGACTAGTTCATCTGGATTCCCATCATATAAACAGGTCAGGTCATTCCTAAAGCTGCTAGAGTGAGTTGTCCTGGGGCTTGTTTTCAATATATAGTTATTTTTATACAGCAACATACTCCCTAAGAGTATTACATTTATGTTATTTATGTAATAAACACATCTTCTATTTCTAGTAATGTTGTTGACTAACTATGCTCCAAGTCTTCTCTGCTTTCCCCCTGATACTGTAGCACAAATAGAACTTCTGATGGGATTTTTTTTCAAAGGATCTGGCAGTGGGTCATGCTTTCCCACTGAAGTCAGTGAAAATGGCTTCTGGCTGGTGAGAAAAGGACCAAACATGCCTGTAACTTGCTAATTCATTCATACACGTAATTTGACTAGTTGGACAGCCCCTTGAGCAGCTGGTACCCTGCCAAATAAGCCAAATTGCATCTCTCAATGCAAAGCAGGAGTAGATCCCTCTGCTCATTGAGACAGGACCTTGATCCTCACAAGACTGAATCAGGACACTGTGAGGAACACAGAACTCTCACAAACTGCTGCCAGGGCTTACTGGGAAACAAAATAAGAGAAGAAAGCAGAAACTGCCTATGCTGGTGTCCCAAGAAAGCTCAGCAAAATGGGAAAGGAATTCAAGAGTGACAGCCCTGGGCAGCCGAGGCAGCTGTATGCCAGGCTGGACTGCTGCACTGGTTCTCTGCTGGAACAACTGAGCTGTCCTAATAAATTCCCTGTGTAAAAAAATATATATATATCTATAAATCGTGCCTTAAGAAGAGCAGTGCAGCTGCAAACAGGGCTGGATGTGGCCAAAGGAAATGCTCTAGGGCTCTATAACCCGAGAGCGAGCCGTGGCGACTCTCTTTGCAAAGGGTGGCTCTACTGAACACGTGCGTGTGGGTGCGCGGATGCACTTGGAGGCGGACACACAACTACAGCTTCATCATCCTGCTGCCAGGGGGGAGATCCGGGCTGGCTGGGCAGCGAGGAGGCCCCGCCGCTACACGATCATGAACTGGCAGACGTAGGGCAGCTGCTCTCGGCACCTCTTGTCGAACCACTTGCCAATGGCGGTCCCCGACAAAGCTGCACAGTTTTCCAGCTTGCCACCGTCGGGCTGGGTGGTGATTTCAGTCTCCCAGTTCTTGTAGCGGATGGGGCTGCCCGTCATGTCGACCCACTTGCCCTCTGTGGCCATGTCGTTGAGGCCCAGCCAGATCTCGGCCTCCGAGCCGATGCTCTTGCGCATGTAATCGTAGAGGGCATCGTTCTCCTCCCCGTTCTGGGGCGTGCTGAGCGTGCCGCCCTGAGAGATGCAGTTTTCGCTGGCCTCGTGGTATGTCTTGGTCTCCGAAAATGCCAGGAAGCATTTCAGGTGAATTTTGGTGCCTTTCAGGCAAACTGAGAGGTGACCACATGAACGGAATAAAAAGACAGAAAGAGAATTTGGTTTAAAAATGGTGCCCAAGAAGAGGCAGCGGCAGCAAACCCAGCAGCCAACTACAAACTTAATTTCTTAGGCTGCACAGTGTCCCTTGGCAGCATGGGATTCCAAGGGCCCCACCCTCTCCTGTGCAGAGTGGGACACAGTCATGGGGATGTGCTCTCCCCCTCTGCAGATCACTGGGTGAAATGGATTTTCAGGGTGCCCCTGCCACCCTTCTGGGCTCTGTTGCTGCTGGAGCAGAGGCACAACATGGTCCTCCTGCCCCTTCCCCTGGCCTTGCTCTTCCCCAGCCAATGCTACTCTTTCTCTGATGAATTTGTTGGAAATACGGTTTGTCACAGGCACTGCCGAGTTTTGGAGTGTTTTGGGAAAAACACTGCATGCCAATTAAATCATCTTAATTATGCGAGATGAAAAAAAGTCTTTTTTAATAAGCTTTGATCAGAAGCGTTGCGCTTGCATAGCTTGAGGTCTTCAGAGGAAATTTCTACTTGCCTCTGATTTTAGTGTTAAGGATATCAATTTATTTTGTTTTTCTTTAAGCTCTAAACCTTAAGAGTGCAGAGTAGTGTAGCCAAACAATATCTAATCAGAGCCACACATTAATATCCAAACCAATTACTTCTCAATGAATGTGATCTTGGAACTAAAGCCTTCATTTTTCTTGTGTTCCTTTTCTTTTAAGGAGAAAATTCTCCTTAATTTGCATTTTCATCCCATTTCTGCTTCATGTTTTGCAAATCCTACTCCTACTGATGTCGATGGAGTTTGCACAGAATAACTATGGAACATGTCTGGAAGATGGACATTTTGGGACTGCCCTCTGTGCATGAAGCAGGACTGACCTCAGTGCAGTTCCCTAGGCAGTACCATGGCATGTGTAAGAGACCAGGTCACCATTTCACTAGGGTTCAGACAAAAGATTAAGCTGCATTTGGTTAAAGCACAGACTAATCCAAGCCCCATCCCTCCACCTCATAAAGGAAAATGAACATCTGGCTTAGCAACATGGGAATATCCAAATGGGAAGCACATAAAGTGGGGGGCTCCACCCTGCACAACTCCTGTCATTAACTGCCCAAGGAAGTTCACCAGCCCAGAGACCCACACTCTGCTTTGATCCCCCAACCTCTCTCCCAGTGGTGGGCTTTCTGCTGTGGGGTGCTTGGGCATCTCTCATTGAGACATGTGGAGCAATTGCAGCCACTTTACAAGCAGCTCCTCTCTCAAAGTAAAAGTCATGTGTTCTTCAGCAAGCCCTTTACCTGTCTGGAGTGCTTGCTTTTCCTTCAGTAGAGCAACCTCCTGAGAGATGTTGTCAATCATGGCCTTCAGGTCTTCAATCATTTTGAGGCTCACACCATCTGTTGGAGAAATCAAAGAAAGAGCACAAATATTGGCTGTATCCCAGGGGAGGCAACAAAACCTGGTCCTATCATCAACACACCATATTTCTTTGCCCTCAGAGAAGGGTACAAAAAAGCAATCCACAAAGTCAGAACCTGTGTCCCCTTGCACATCCATCAGAGTGCGTGTTTGCTTGCCAGCCTGGTTCCACTATCAGTAACAACCTTGTTTTCCTGGTTCAGGTTTTGGGGCTGCTGCACCTCATGTGTCTTCCAGCTGCAGGGGTCACCCTTTGGGTAGCCACAGCAGCGCTGGGGAGGAGGTCACACGCATGAGCATTGCAAGGTGCAGGCTTGTCTCTGGCACCCCTGGGCAGAGCTCCCAAAATGCAAGAGGACACTGTCTGATGCTGCTGCCTGAACAGAAGTCCTGACACACACAAATATTTTGTGGGCAACTTGAAGCTAATGATGAACAGGATTTATTTTTTCCAATTCCTCAAAGACATGCACTTTCTATTCACAGCACACCCTCCTGGCTTCCCTTAAACACCCTAAGACATGATGTTCTCCCTATGCACTCCTGGCTGCACCCACCTCTTGTCTGCTGTCACTGATGGGTTGATAGGAAAGCATTTTGCTCACCAGGCTGATCCTCAGCAGGAAGGGGCTGGAAGGGCTGCAGATCCTACCTCCACTGGATCTGCCTCTGCACCACCAACCTCTGCCCACCAACCACACCATCCTTTGGACCATCACAGTGGCCTCTGCCTCATCTCTACCTTCATCACCCACAGTGTGGGTACCCAAACACCGTCCAGAGCTGCTCTCCTGCTGTAAGAAGACACCTCTTTGGCTGAGGAGCTGGCTCTTAAAGCCTACCTCTTGCTAGGTGTGTTGCTTCTGCTACAGGTCTAGTTATTAACCAGCAGTAGGATTTCTCCCAGACAGGAGCAAAGGGACCATTTACACCTTGTAGGTGGTGAGAGATTGGACACTGAGGGACTTGTATGCATCTAGCAGCTCTCTTGTTGAAAGCATCTAGCAGTTCTCCTGGGGTGAAAGGAAAGGGGACAATTGAATGCATGAATGCAGTAGGAGGGACTTCCTTGAGGGCCAAGGAGCTTAGGCACCAAGGCAGGCAAGTAGGGAAGCAGCCTGGATGTGGACCAAAACCACCAACCCAAGATTACATGGTGCCATGAATATGAAAAGCCAGACACGTCAGGAGGAGGTCATTAAGCTGCTTTACTCATTGCTCAATTAACTTTAATGGATTAACACTGAGGCACTAGATATTATTTTGCTGCCTTTAATGAAAACACTTTGTGGGAAATGGCTAATTAATCACGGGGTTTTTTTCCATGCAAGGCTGTCTTGCAGCAGAACAAATGTTCTAAGGTTTAAGTAACATCCAAAGGTCATGGCAGGACACTACCAATGAGTCTTGCTGGGGCAGCTCCTTACGATGTTACAGCTGGGTTTGCAGGTGGGTTCCCACCTTGAGGGTCCCTGCCATGAGAGGTGACATGTCTCCTTGATAGCCACCTAAGAGCCCTGTCCCTTTTCAGCACCTCATTTCCAAATCCTGGGCCACAAAATGTTCCTACAGCAGTGCATTCACTGGGATGTCTCACGGAGAACCAGGACTGGTTGACTCACCCTTCAGCTATAAAGTGAGGACCATGTCTACATCAGCAGATGTTGTGTTGTCTATTTTATTGCCATGGGCTTTTGTCTCAGTGTTGTCATGTCCTCAAGGCTCACCTCCTGAGGCCTGAGATCAAGCCTGTTTACAGTCTAGGTTTTCTGTGATGGAAGCTGGCATATGGGATGCTGATGATCCCGTGGGAGCTGGAGTGGGTCCTTGTGCAGGACCGTGAGCAGCAGGATTAAGCATGGGCAGAGGCAAGATCAAAAGGAGACTCAGAATTGTGTGTCACAATAATCTGTTGGTTTGAAATGGCCAGGAATGTACTTAAAGCTGCAAATGGGAACTCTCGCCTTTCCTAATTATATGCTGAAAAATAAAAAAATCCCTCTGTACTAAATGTTAACGTTTTAACTATTCCCGTATGAAATTCGGATATATAAATGGGTTTTTTAGCTTTGCCTGGAGATCCAAACAGCTTCCTCTCCCCCAGAGGAATGAGCATTGCTCTGGTTCACAATGTCTGTCATCAAAGCTCTCTGGCCACCAGAATTTCTTCTGACACCAGGCATTTCCTCAAAGGTACCAAGAGGAAGAGTCAGGTCCCATACTGCAGTCTGTCCCTGGATCAAAGGAGGAGACTGAACACACCCACGCTGGATTTATAGCAGTGTAAATGTTCACTGTCATTTTCAGGGAAGAGCATCCAGACAAGAATACACTGAAATTTTGGGCAGTAGGTGGCATTAGGCAAGAAGCCCAAATTATTCCCTATCCACTGAATTAAGCATCCAGACTCTGACTTCTGTCTCCAGTTACCTTAGAAATACATGAGAGAGCTATGCAAAGGTGGTCCCTTCCATGACCCCAGCACCCCACCACAGCTGTGGCCAAGGGGAGCCCCCCCAGGGCTGGTGCCTGCACCCCCAAGCCCCTGGGGTGTCAACGCTGCCCAGGCAGGGATGTCAGTGCCTGTCTCCCCTGGGAATGCCTTTGGATGACACCTCCAGAGCTACCAGACAAGGGCAAATCCCATCTGTACCCCAAGACACTGGGGCTCAGGGAGAGTTTGCTGAGCTACTGCATTTGGAACAATAACTGGGGAGTTAATTTGAGGGGGAAAAACAAAACAGCAGGCCAAGTGGATGCGCTGTCTCAGCATTTTCTAAATACTGTGGTTTGGCTATTTCATGTTGAAATAGCATCATTTTTCATTCTGAAGCAGATCCAAACATAAGCAACAATTACAAAACAAAAAAGAAAAAAAGAAAAAAAGTTAAAAAAAAAAACCAAACATAAAAAGCTTGGCTGAAATCAGTGCTTTCTTTTCTAACATTTGTGGTTTGGTTGCATAGATTAAAAAAAAGTAAATCCAGCCAAACACCCCAACCCTCCAGTGGCTTTGCCCTGCCTGACCCTCCGAGGCAAAGTGCAGGGGTGGAACCAGGATGGGGGTACTGGATGAGGAGTTTGGTGAGGATGAGATGGGGGGGAACATCCTGCCATTGTTCAGAGCAGAAGTGGCTGAGCCCTGGCCCCTGTGGTGGCTGGGCAGGCAGGCTTGGATGTGGAGAGGGGCTGGAGGGCAAGAGGAGCTTCACAGGCGAGTTTTAGCGCTCTTCCTCCTCCTTTCCTACCCCCTGGCATTGGTAAAAATGTGAAAAATATTAACCAAGAAATACTGGAAGTTTCCAGTAAAGGCAGGGCAGCTGATCCCCTACAGGGCTGGATGGGACTGATCAAAAAATGCCAAGTTGCTGGGTTTTCCTTTTTCTCCACAGAAAATATGACCTCACCTTTGAAAATGAATTCTGACTGGTCCAGATGGCTTGATTTTCAGGACACCCTCCTCAAAAGTTTTTAAAGTTTTTAAATCAGAGCCAAATTTTCTTGTCAAAAAGGTGATTTTTCTCCCACCTCCTTGTCACTACTCGATTACAAACAGGAGTTGCAATGAAACCTGGAGAGAAATAGGATTTCTCTAAGAAATGTCTCTCTCCTGGTATCTCCAGCGAGTGCAATGCATGTATGTGCCCTGTATGAGCCCAAGGGCTCATATATAATTTTTTGTTATTCCATGTCCTGCAGAATAAGATGTGGAATAAGCAGCTAAGTTTGTGAATTCATAGAAAGATCTAATGGGAGAAAAGGCAAAAATTTCTCAAGGATGGAATCTGACAGAAATAGCCACTGAGTTAGCGTAGACAGCAGCCTGGCCAAGTGAATTCCAGGGATGCTTCCTCCTTGCTCCCCACTTCGTTCCAAGCAGGAAAGCGCCTGCCAGAAGCGGTCCAAGCCCTGTCGGACACATCAGGCAGGCAGGCACGCTCACATGCTCCTTCCACACCTTCCTGCCTTCTCCCATACTCAATGTGCATTGAGTCAGAGGGACAAAGGATGGGACAGGAGGAACACAGGAGAAGAAAAGGAGAAATAAACCCACTGGGGAAGAGAAAACCCAGGCAACTTTGTGTGTGCACTGCTGTCTGACAAGCCTGAGTAGTCAGAGCTCGTGTCCCGTGTGAAATACACCCGAGGCCAGTGGTTTGAAATGAAGAGCCCTGTTGATGCTGAATGGCTTCGGTATTTTCTGCCTGCTCTTATCTCCAAAATTGTCTGTCATCTAGCACTTACTTGCTTCTGCAAAATGAATGAGAAGGGGTTAGGGGGTTAGAGAAAGGGAGAATTTAATTATTAGAGGAAAAGCTTGGGATGAACCTTGGACGGAACACAGAAAATGCATTCCCTCTGAAATTCAGACCAAGCTGTCCCAATAACTTTATTCAGGGTAGGGACCCACCAAAACCATTTCAATACCCTCACTATTTTACAGAGGAGCTGCACAATCACTCCCACGGAGGAGGGGGCGGGGGGAAGGAAGACGCTTTATTAGGTTTTTAGATGCTTTATATGAAGTTTCTCTAAAGCACCGCTAAATACCCAAACGAGTGGGTTCATCACAGCCCCCCCAAGCCCTGTAAGTCCCCCTCGCAGGGAAGCAGCCAGCGCCCCTTACCTTTCTTGGACGCCGCCGGTTTTTGCCGGGCTTTGCCGTTCTGCTGGCCGGAGACCTGTGCGAGGGAGAGGAGGCAGAGGAGGAGGCAGAGGAGGAGGCAGGCTGCCCGGGGCGCCATGCCGTCCGGTCCGAGCTCTGCCCTCACAGCGCCGGCTGGGCAGCGGCTGGAGCCGGGAATGGCTGTCCCGGAGAGCCTCGGGCTGAGCCCGGGCCAGCGGCGGCCTCCCGGCGGCTCCGGCCAAGGCTGAACCCTCCCAGGGGGGCTGGTCCAGCTCTGAGCACGCCGCTTGTTTTCGTTAAAAAAGAAAAACTAAACAACAACAACAAAAATACAATCAGAAAACCAAACCAAAACAAAAAAGGGAATGAGTGTGCCGACAGTCTGCTAAGCTAAACATAAGGAAAAGCTGGGAGTATGGCTGGAACGACTTCCTGCGGCTTTTAGCACAATGCCACGAGTTTGATCTCGTGTGTCAGCGATGGCAGCAGCGGTGTGAGGTGTGAACCAGCGCTTGGGTGGCTGAGGGGACAGAGAGGGACCACCTGTCCCCCGGCCCTCAGCAGGGATGCCCGCAAGGGATGTGCCGGCACCAACAGAGGGAGCGGAGGGGGACCGAGCACCCCGGCTCCTTGCTCAGTGTAGGGTGGCTCCTAGCCCTCTGAAAAGCACTTTCTCTCTGGCTTTGGCAGGCTCGTCCTACCATCATTGCTTCTCCATGGGATCTCCAGAGGGACTTGGGATCAGGGGCATATGTTCCACAAAAACCCATTCCCCCCTTTGCAGGTTCCCAGCCTGACTTCTTGAACCAGCTGGGCTGTGCTGAGCAGCTCTGCAGCCTAAACCAAGACCACTGCCTGTTTTTTGGGTGGTGTGGCTGTTCAGCAGCTGCAGCACAAGCAGGTAAGTCCTTCCCGCAGGAGGAACAGCAGCAGTTTGAACAAGTGGAGGAAATTCATGTAGAGGAAGGAGGGGAGGGATGGGCATTTTGGAGATCAAAGTGCTCCAGACATCAGCCATTAATCTTAAAACTTTTCTGATAATTTAAGGCAAGATGCCACCCAGCACATTGTGAACCTCCGGAATTGTAGGTCCGAGATAAATGGGGATGTGACTGGAAAAAGAGCTGCCTTTGAGTTAGTTTGGCAGCCATGGTGTTATTCTGCTTCACACTTCTGCTAAATAAGGAAAATCCTGCCCTGATGTCCTGCCTGAACAGAGAGCTCTCATGCACCCCAAGCTTTCGAAGCATAGGAGGAACAGTTTGATTCATGCACCATCCTTCACTCATCAAATTTAAACTGGAAAATACATATCTTGGGGATTTACTGTTCTCCTGCCTGGACTATCTCAAAATGGGATGGATGGAGCCCAAGAGATGGCAGACACCTACATACACATACGTGTTTCCTTTCCTTGACACTCAAAAGTACTTTTGGTAGGCAACTCAGTACCTCCTTGGCTCCAGATATGCTCGCCTGCCTTTGCTTTGATTCATATGCTGCCAAGCTGGAGGAAAAAACAAAATTCTCCCTTTACTGCTGCCCATGAAACAGATTGCTGTGGTGTGGAGTTTGACAGCAGTCCCTAACCTCAGATTTCCGACCTGGGACCAACCAATGTTGCCCAGATGAAACAAGAAGGGCAGGGTGGCTTTGCATTAGTCCCTGAAGAGCAGGTCTGCACCATGGGGACCCCTCCCTGCACCAGTCAGCAGGTCCTGTGCTGGATGTCACCATCATTTTCTTGAAAAATGAGAAAAATGAAAACAAGTAGACTGAAAATATTTGTCTCCACCTGTAACACCTATCCACAGGCGACTTTGCCCCAGTTCTGTCCAATGTAGATTGAAAATAAAAATCCTTGACATTACAAAAGCTCATAAACCCCTGCCCAGCCAGCTGATGGGAGCAAGCTGAAGTGTTGTTGCATTGGATCCAGCATGAGGATGCTTCAGGGAACAGCCATCCCCTGCCCAAGCTCCTGCTGAAGCCAGAGGTGCCAGTTAAATAACAGGGCTCTCAATGGCCCTTTGCTTTTAAGATCCTGTTGAGTCACACTTCTTAATGTAAAGAGGTGTGGGAAGTGAGTAGAGGTAATCCTTTTTATTAGATGAACTAATAGAACTGGAAGTCATTAGCAAAATACTAAAATTATGCCAAGAAACCAAGGTTTTGTCCATGATTTTTAACATCTGTGCAATTATGGATTTTACTTTCCAGTAAAGGCACTTCACTCCCTGGTTTCAAGCCCAGCCTCCTGGTTAGAGAGAGCAGCTCCTGTTAATTGCAAGGTAACTGGTTTGAGATGAAAAAAAGAGGGCAGAAGAACCTATGCTTATGGAAACCATTCCAGGGCCACAGGGAAGCAGATAGAAAAGTTTACATGGCTTTGGGAAACCCAGTAAGTAGGCTGGGATGCTGAATTTGGAAGGCTTTCAGTGAGCAAAACACTAGCTGGAATAAGCCCATGAAAGGAAGCTGGATGCTCCTGGCAGCAACACAGACCTGTGATTTCATGCCCAGCTAGGCAAGGAAATGGGCAGCAAGATCAGAGGCAATTTTGCTTTGGCTCCTAGGAAAAGAGCAGGCACAGCCAAGCCAAGAAATGAGGCAGCGCCGCCGCACAATGGCTGGAAAGTGCAAGGGTGGACTGGATAACAGTATTCACACAGTTATTATCAAGATCAGCAATTACCAGACCTGGCCTTTCAGGGCAAAATCACCAGTTCAAAGGCAGGCCACCCCAATGCTGAATGATGCCAGCTCTTTGCCTGAAGCTCCTCCTCCTCCTCTGGGAAGGCTCCTGCCAGCACTGACAGCAGGAGAGCAAAGGGGAGACCCAAAGCATCTTTATGTGCAGGGCCCTGCAGCTCGGGGGCCTGATCCACGGCTGGGGCAGCACACTGGGATTCACATCTCTGCTCCCTTGAGACCAGCTCAGGCCATTAGAGCCTTGTGCTAAAAATGCCAGCATTGTGAGTTCAGTCCCTGTACAGACCATTCACTTAAGAGCTGGACTTGGTGATCCTTGTGGGTCCCTTTAACTTGGAATATTCTGTGATTCAGTGATATCCATTCTTCAGGGGCAGGATCCGTGTGTCAGTGGTACCACAGTAACCTCTAAGAGGAACAAGAGACAAACAGCAGTGGACAGTAACAAGCACTCTGTGAGGAAGTGGGGCTAGCACAAGAAAATCTCTGATATTCATTAGCTGCTGCCTGCACTCATGCTGGCATAGTTCCTGATTTCCACCAGCATAAACATCGGAACAGGTTAAAACGGAGAGAGCCAAATCTATGGATCATTGTTTTGGAGACCAATTGAGAAGAAATGCAATAACAGTTCAGGAAAGGGTGGTTTTCATAAGGACAATGATGGGGAAAACCAAGGATTTTGCCAAAGTGTTATCCCCAGCATCAACTTTAGGAAACTGGCTCTGAGCCCAAGGAGGGAACCTTCCCATCATATCCCACGTCAAGCATGGCTCACATCCCTACCCCACGTACACCAAGGGCTACAGGACAGAAGGATCCATTCTACAGTAGATCCATGGGCTTCAAACCAGATGCAAATGTGGAGCACTTGAGTTCAAGTAGTATCAGCTGTTTAAAATCCTTCTGTTTGCAAAGAAGCCGCACCAGAGGACTCACATTCCCTTTTGTTTGGAGACTGCAGCTCCTGTAGGCTAGAGGTAATCTGTCTTCACTGCTTTATGTTTGCCACCCAGATCCCAAAGTCCAAATAGCCAAAGGAAAGCTGTAGTGAAGTGTCTAAATTTAACACTGAAACTCTGGAGGAATTCCTAACTGTCCAGGTCCACTGCCTGTCACAGCATCAGTTCAAATGAGGTCACCACTGAACTTGATGGTTGGTATTTTTGGACTGGCAAGTAGACAGCAGTTCTGTCAGCCTAGGCTCCTATTTCATGTCATTCTCACCTTTGAGCACTGGTTTGCTTTCATACTGCTGTGGATGCTGAATGATGGATTATAAGAGAATTTCAACTTCAGCTTCCTGAATTCCTTAATTTTTTTGAATTTAGAGAAAAGTTTGCATGATCAGACAGCAGAAAGAAAGCAACTCATGACCTTGAAAAGCCTCATTATGTTAAAGTTGGTCTTTTGCTGGAGGGAAGAAAGACAGGTAGGACTTAAATCATGACTTTTTAACCCAGAGGTTTCCAGCAGTGGAAATAGCCAAGCTTCCCATTTGCCAAAACACAGAGAGAAGGGGCAGTGAGAGAGCTCCCCTGGAAGGGAGGGTCTGCAGGCTGGTGGTTCCTAGTAGTTCCAATGCCTTAGCACTGGCTTGGCTGTGGTCCCTGCCACAGCCAGCTGGGTGGAAGAAACCAGAAAGGGCCTGAGATGTCTTCTTACCCTTCTGAATGTACAAGCTAAGGGGCTGCAGCAACTATGATCATCTCTGTCTGTATAAAGGAAAACAAATCTCATTGACAAATGGTGTGACATGAAGACTCAGCCATGCCCGTGCTGCTCATCTTACCCAAATCTTGAGATCAGGATAGCGACAGAGATGTTCACAGAGCTCGAGAGATAGCTGCAGCTTTATTAAAAAGTGTTCCAGTCAATGAAGTGGAGGTTTAAACCATCACCAGGGAGTCATTAGCAGCATGTTTGAGATTCTAATGATGTTTTGCAGCAACAGCAAAAACGTCTTTGTTCCTGGATAGCTAGAAATGCAGCTCCAAGAAAACAGCTAGAAATGCAGCTCCAAGGAAAACCCAAGGCACTGCAGTTTTTCTGTGGGGAGACCCATACCAAAGTGCCCTGCTGTGGCTGAGCACTATCACTGCAAGTCTGGGACTTCGACAAAGGAAAAGAAGCCTCTGTGAGCCACAGCTAACAGGGGCAGCCACAGTTTGCCTTAGAAGGAAAAGCTGCCTTGCATGGGGGGCAGGGAGTGCAATTGGGCAGGAGTGCACTAAGACACAAGAGGATGGGAAGAACTGAGAAATCACATAGAGGCTGATGACTGAAGAAATTCAGTACCAGTTGCAGACCTGCTCCTGCATTTTTCTCCAGCGTGTTAAAGGAATGGAGAGAACAAAACTCTGGGGTAAGGACTGGAGTGCTCAGGTCTTACCAGTCACAGCTGTGCTTCTTCCACTCTCTGGGTGCCAGTGGCCACTTACCACAGGCAGAGGAAGCCAGTGCCAGAGCAGGGCTGGAGAACCTCCTGCTGCTGAG